TAATATAGAGATGATTCGTTTGCTTACCCACCCCCTGAGGGTAGGTAAAAGACTTGTATATTTACTCCGGATGACTATAAGTGATTGAGATTTATTTTTGTGCAGGGGTTGGGAATAGTACAATTGACATTAAAGATAGGATGAAAAGAAAACTTAGTAGTTACCCATAGTATTTTTTTATGATTAATGGTTGCCTATAAAAATCACGAGATTTTTTCATTAAATTTTTATTTCCGATTATTTTTAATGCAAATACACGAGTCGAGTTTTCATCACTTAGAAGCCCACTTATTTTTTTTAATAGAATCAAGTGTCTTAAAGCTCATTTGAAACACATTTAATTATCTATCCACCGATGAGAATATAACAACTTATTGTTCTATTTAATTAAAAACATCATTTTTTATTCCACACAAAAAACAGTAAAATTAGTTTTGAATTTAAAATTTAAATTATTTCAACTTCTGAAATTGCTCTGCTCAAACATTATCTAACAAATATAATTAACACCACTGATGAATTCATAATTTTATTCCCTTCTAAACGAGACATTAATAATACTAAGGGTGTTACTCTGAATAAGGGCTCAAAACTAAGTTTACATGATCGCTTTTCTTGTTTTTTTATCATAAGGAACTTTTCGAGTGTTAAGGGATGGGGTGGCGCTGAAGGGTGGTTTTTTGCCAGCCAATTTTCGCCGCTCCTGCGCGTAAATTCGTTCGATTCGTGAGATTAAATTTGGTTTTTTCCCAGCGCGATATTCGTGTCGATTTTTTCCATCCATGATTAATAAATTTCCTATTAATTGAGTTCATGTGACATGGATGTTTTTATCGACGTAGGTGCACGTGCACGTGCAAGGGAGCGTAATTTTTCCATTCGCAAAAGGAGGAATACAGAGGAAAAAATCGAAAAGCATGGCAGGAGCAAGGAAAGGAGGAGAAGTTGGTGTGACAAAGAGTAATGAGGAATGGGCTCGACGGAGTTAACTCGGAGCCGGCTCCAATTTCCTGCTAATTCAATGTCTTTCAATCTGAAAGATAGGCCATGATTGATTATGTGGGTCGACGCGACGCCGACGCCTCCCCATCTCCACCTACACCACCTCACTCCTGCACCATCCAATGGTACCAATACTAGATTTTTTGCTGAATTCGAATTTTATTTGAATTCCCTTGCTTTTAAACTAAGAGGTTTGCGAAAAACTTACTAATATTACACCAAAACTAAAAAATTCTGTTCAATCCAACTCTTACAGGACTTGTATTACAAATTTGTATCCTTATAAGCCATAAGCTCTTCAAGCAATTAATAAATAGGTTACTTTATACTGATGGGATGATAAAAAAGGGAATTAGCTGGATATGCGAGGAGCAATATGCAAGGGTGGTTGTTCAAATACAATAAATAATTCTCAAGCTTGGGTGGGCTCGGTCTCTTCACGGATTAACAACACTATTAGCTTAATCCTCGTGAAGAGAGGGCGCTGCACGCGCGTTGTTCACGTGTACCAGTGATACCCGATCGTATAGTGACGTAGCGTCGATGGAAGAGGATAACTTGATTTATGATGATGCTTAGATTATCTAAAGGGGGTTGATTTTTTTTTCGGCGTAAGCTTTGTTTGGGAAACTAAGTGGTCGGGATAGCGAGAATCGCGCATTCAATTTTAATAGGTGTGAAATTAAAACTGACTTTTCGCATTTCCAATTCCGTATTTAATTTTCGACGTAAACTCACCCCTCTAACCGGCGAAAACACGGCCAACGACAAATCCGATCCTTATTCTCGCCGCTTTTCTCTCCATCCGGCTTTTCTCGTCCTCTCCCCCGCCGTTTTCCATTATAGCGTTTGTCGACAAAAACTCAATTATGCAAGTTATCCAACCAATTACTAAGTTAGGCAACCCCCGTTTATTTTATGACTAGATGCTGCACAACACGAGCCCCTATTAATTCGCGGTGGCACTTAATTCGTTTTTCCTCACACGAGCGTTAAGAGGAATACCAGAGAGGGAAGCCGGATCACAGTGAATGTGGGGTGTTGTGGTCTGAGAGGAAAATCCTTCGTTAACGGTTGAACGTCATGAAAATTACTTACAATATTGGACGAATATGTAATAGGTAACGAGAATCGAGCGAGTTCTGCTTCGAATGGTTTAAACTTGTATAATAAGAGTTACTTGGTGAATAAGGATTAGAAGTGATAATAGAGGAACAAGATTTGTTTAAAATAGGTTTATCAAGGAAGATTTTTTTATATTTTTTGCAAGAACACCAAAATTCCAAATCAGGAAGGTGATATTCTTTGTTGATTAGAAGAAATTAGAGGAACTATTGATGATGAAGAACCTATGGGTTTTTTAAGGACGTTTTCAAGGATTTAGCAGGGTGGTTTAGCAACGGTTGGTAGTGTAGCAATATTAACTTCGTGAAAGTTTTGGTTTCTTCATTTAAAATTCTCTTATTAAAAGATTATTATCTTCCAATTCGAAAGAGGAGGATGACCAAATGATATGTAAAAATGAAGATGAAGGAGGTGATAAAGATAATGGTGTACTAAATTTTTTATTGAAAATACCTTAATGAAGGTCATTTTTAACCTCCTTAAGCAGATGTTCTGGACAGTTCTACAAAAATAATTCACATATCCAAATACAATAGTAAAGTTTTTAAGTGTGATATCCTCATAAATAAGGCTTCCTCTTGATTCAAATGTTATTAATTTTCTATTTTTTTTCCTTCATCTCCACCTCCAAATTTAAACCATATTTTTGCATACAGTTAATTCCACATAATGTAATATTTAAGAGTCATCATTTATCCCATGTGTATGATAGCAAACAAATCGATCACGTAGAAAACAATGTGAAATTATGTTGCGTCGGAAAATTAATTACCAACCGGGCAGAGTCAGCTAAATTCACCAGTTAAAACAAAACGCAATGTAACTGATATAAACGGTTTCATCCCCCATAAAAAGTTCATAAAGTAAGCCGGAGTCCGCATTTAAACAGACGTCTCTGGAGACATCTAGCGGCAGAGCAGTTTCCATGGCGATGTACGCGGAGACATTCGCTTGTTTTAATCAAGGCTGTCATGGCAACCGAGATCCCGCCATTGGACAATTCATTTTGTAATTACATTGACGACACCCAAGGCGGCCATTTTGAAACGAACACAGGCGTCCAGACGACAGGCGAGCGTCGCTAGCGGGCCGGCGTCGCGAGCAAGACGGAGCAGGGCGAATGTACGCCGGGCTCCTGGAAGCCGCTAACTAATACAATTAAGGAGAGACAAGTGAAATTCCGCTATCGTAACTCGTTCTGCTCCGGCTTGTCGGAGAGAGAGCGTTCCCGCTCTTTTTCTAACCCTCCGGAACGCGGCCAGTGGTGGAGAGACCATTATAGATTTCTGTTTGTACCGTATGGTGATAGATTTCCAAATGGAAAATTGGTTTAAACGTTTATTTGCGCATGGTTACTCGCTGAACTCTCAACATCTAATTGATAATTGAATTGTTACTTTATCCTTTACATAGATTGCTCTATTAATTAAGACTTTTAGAATTGAGATCTACTGGTAGGATGATGATCAGAGGTATTGCTTTTGACCATTCATCAGCAGGATTCAAGATTGGAGGTTTCGAGAAATAATGAATTTTCTGGTACCTAACGAGAATCTAACCATAGACCATTTGAAGTCATAAGGAAAATGTATTCCTAGAGAACTGACAAAAAATCTTCACACTTTATATTGGATATTGGAATGAAAATGATGATTGGTCATTTATAAATGACCCTGTACAAAATGGAATTATCACCCCAACTTCTACTCCTAGACTCATAGATAATAATAGATTGAAAGAAAATGATATTCTCTTAGAAAAAACAACCATTCATCACAGGATATCAAAAGATACTCCAGTAAACTAAACAAGTTAAAGATTCTCATTTTTGTGTACTTATGAAGTACCTCAGTGAATGTGAAACACTCGCTTTGAAATTACATTTTTTTGGAGTTTGGAAAGAGTAAAAAAATTTAGTGCCGACGCTGTGGCGTATATGTAGGGAAGCGAGACGGAGTCCGGAGCGCCCCGCGTCCCGTTTTTCTCCAGCCCACGCGCTCCCCTGGCCCCCCGAGCACACGCTGATGGAAAACCTCCTAGCTCCCAGGTTGATTAAAACAGATTGAATGTTTCAACTTTATGCGGTTACTTTATTATAGTTTCAGATACTTGACTCCGGAACTTTTCGTTCGTCTTTTCTCCGGTTTCTCGTTAACTTGGAGTTTTTAGTTTGATGGGCGCACGGTAGCCCCGAGAAATTGTTTTATTAATCTCCGTGTTTTAATTAATGTTTTAGTAGGACCTTAATTAAAGTTTGTTAATTATTCTTTAATATTTTATTTAGAATTAGGTAGGAATGGATTAAAATTTAAGTTTTTAAGGGTTGAGAAATGCAACTAAGTCTCGTTAACGACTCGTTAAAGCGTCGATTAAACTTCTGGTATTAAAATTAAATAAAAACGTTTTCTAGTCGACGGTTTAAATTAACAATTAAAAAACGTAATTCTTGGTTATACATTCTCATTTTCATAATAATTAGATAATGCGTTTTAATTACAAAGCTCGTTGTTTAAGTTTTATTTTAATTAAATTCACCGATGGTATTAAGATTAATTGAATAATGTTCCTCCAGACTACCGGTTATTTTACTGCAGAGAATCACGCAATTAGAAAATAATTACACTTCTATTTTACAGCAAACTCCATCATTTTCTTTTGCTTCAATTCAAAACGCTACTTAAGCTTTTTCAGGCTAATCGACATTGACAATATAAATATTATAGTGGCACAGAGCACTTTCGAATTTCAATTTTATTGTTTATTAATTAGCGAATAAAAATACGCAAGTTATAAAAAAGATAATTCATCGATACGAGCGAAAGTCGTAGGCGAGAATATAATATACGAAGCGTTAATCGAATTCGCGTTTAATCGTCGTTTTTATTGTTTTCAATCAATTCGTCGCATTTAAAACCGACGATTAAAAAATCCGATTCCTCGGCCTGGCGATGAAGGAATTTCAGTTCTGACAAAATCGAACATGATTTTGCAACGGTCCTTCTTCGTCGTGTCGCTGATGATCGGCTTGGCGGTGATAGCGGAAAAGAATTTCAACAAGTGAGTGGCACTTGGAAAATTTTTCGTTATTTTTTTATATTTATAGAACGGGTTTTCATTGACTAGTTGTAGCAAAATTATCGCCGGGGTCGTAAAATTTAATCAGTTACTATTGTCTAGCCACGACGTCACGAGGTTAAATTTATTTTTCGATCAACGTATAATACACTCAACTGAAATTAATCGTGACGTCATCAACATGTTAAAGTGATAATTGAGCTTATTGAGTTATTTTATAGGGAAGAGATAAAACTATTGCAGGCATCATGGTCGAGAATCAAGGAGAATTCCTTGGAAATCGGCAAGCAAATATACCTCACGTAAGTTATATAAGATTTAAGCGAAGAAGAGAATTAGATGTTAATAAATTTTCTAAAGATTGATAGACGATTTGTCGCAATCTCCGCAATCCTATTTAAAGATGATAATGGCGCCGATCGCGCCCGATTTGGAGGAATTGGTGAATCGACAGGAGTTCAAACGTAACGTAAACAGAGTGATCAAAGAGGTGGATACGCTGGTGTTCGACGATTTGGAGGCGACCATACGAAAATTGCAGAAGGCCAAAGTTGCTTTGAGGAACATCAACTTGGATAACTTCCTGAGTGATTTGAATGTAAATAAATCGATCAGATTCTCTAAAAATTTAGCAGGAATAATGGAAGTCTAATTAAATTAAAAGATAGTTATTTTATAACAATTCTTTTTTAATAAAAAATAGACTTAAATAATAATTGGAAGGACAGAACTTGTAAGCCATTGGAATGATCTTAATATTTTATTATAAGGAATATTTTAGGTCGCAAACTCGCAAATCCTATCGCAAATTCGGGATGATTTGTGTTCAGTTTTTAATGGTTTTCCAAGGACTTCCAAGGTTTTTTGAGTTATATTAGAATTTAAAAATATTGCAATTGAATTTTTCTATTCTAGTTTTTAGTTTAAAACGTAATTAATAAGTAAATTTTTAGTTTACGCAGCAAGAAACGATGAAAGTGTTCTCGACTTTTATGGACGACAGGGAATTGAAAGCATGGAAGAAATTCTTCGCGTTATTGGATAATTAAAAATTAAAATCTAGTTCGTTTTAGAAATTTATTTTTTAATGTTTTATTCTTTATCACGTAAACCCCGTTTATTTCGCATTTACTACCAACTGACCTAGAAAATGCACATAAGAACATTTTGAAATTTAAATCGACCTTGTAAAATCGCCCTCAAAATTTGCAGAAAATATTAAAAAAACGTTGTAAATGCTACTGAATAATTTCTGGTAATCTGGTGATCGAGTTATTGCAATAAAAAAACTTTCTCTTTGTTAACATGGAGATTATTTAGCAGATGTTACTAATACAGGTACCGGTCTATAAAAATCTTTCTAACATACATATGTACATATTTATTTAAATAAATCGCCTTTGAAGTGTAAGGCCACAAACAAGTAAGCATCAGAGATTCAATTATAATTTTTGATTCTATAAAAAATGTTAGATTATTGTATTGGTTATTAATTTAAATCAATTACAACAATTTACGATGTAAATTCAAGAAAAAACCATCGAGAGTGTATACGAAATTAAAAGCAACCGTAATAATTTTCACCCCGCAAATCGTATCGGGATATTTCATCGCATTACAAACCGTTGTTTACCATTTCGACCATAATGGTGCGCCGATAAGATCCCGATCGTTTTTATATAGCGCCCTGCGAGTGAATCTCACCCCCGTATTCCCACCGGGAGCGCGACAAATCAACCGACGTCGCGCGACGCACCAGCCAAATAATCCCGGAGATTATCATCGAATCGGATCAAAGGACATATGCGGTGGATTAGATGCGCTCTTTTCCCTTTTATCGGCGGCTGCGTTTTAATTCCTGCAATCTAATTTCGAGCCTTCGCTGGCGTTTCGCCGATTCGGGAGGGGTCGTGTTTACTTTTTAACGCGGAAAATCGTAAAAATCTCGGCGCGGTTTCCGCGCCCTCGCCCCTGCAGTCAATTATATCCGTGGAAAAGAAGACCGTTAGGTTTATGGGATGCAAGAGGCACCGGATCAAGTACCTGTGAAACTGCCGTCGCGACGCGGGAATACAAATAAGGGCTCGTTTAACTTTTTTTTATGCGAGTGCCGTTCGTGCGTTAAATTCCGAAATAAAAACGCTGGTTTTCATTTAAACAGGCATGCTTTTCTCGAATTATCGCTATTATTAACTCAAATATTAATTCTGTAGAAAATAGATCGGTTAGAATTCGATTAAATCTGATGAACATCTGGTTTTCCGTGAGCGTCCAAATCTATATCCCGGTGGATTTTATTATCGCAATGAATATTCATGCATCTCCTCATCCAAACGTTCCGATCTCGATAAAACTCGACAAAAAAATCGTTTCTAGATGAAATTTAATTTTATATCTTCGTAATCTCTCTGTGATAGTGAAGAAGGTACACGTGAAAATAATTACTCTCTACTTTTATAAGTTTTCTTCATATTTTAATGATTTGATAGTATTCCTTGTACCTATTCCCAAATGTCATTAATAAATTGATAGCAGAAATCATATGTGTTGAGTTACAAATTGAAGAGTAGTTAATCATTTTATACATAGCTGATTTTTTTCCTCGGATTGATTGATTTTGCTTTATCATAAGGAAATAAATTGAATCAACAACTCGACCGCTGGTCGGCTCATTAAAATCGAATTTTCAATCAAAATTCCGCGTCGATAATACGAATTCGCCCTACTTTTTTTTGTGCACATACTAGATTATTTCGAAGTCATCGTTTCCACTACAGAGCGCATCTTAATAATCTTCCGACCGTCAGTGTATATAATAGAAGAAAACAATTGAGTTGTGCCATAATACCGCCAACTAAAGAGCCAGACGTGTAATTAGGTGATTAAAGCGCCATTGTTCCCCTCGGGCTGACAGCTCAATCAGGGCCCCGGCCTTTTTGTTACCTAGAAAATTAAAAAAGAGACCAAATGATTTTTTTCCCTTTTCGTTTTTTTTTTTCGTACACGCGGTATATTAAAAAACAATTTACTCGACGTATCCTCATACCCATTGCGTTGCCTTAATTAAATCAATAGAAAATGCCAATAAACAATGAGAAAAAATCAACTTAGTAATCAAAGTTTTTTAATAAAAATATAGCTCATCGAATCTGCTTTTTATTAAGTTCCCAAAAGTACAGCTTGTAAAAGTTATCAAAGATGATGAGTTTGCAAGTTTTGAGAAGCTTAAATTTAAACTATCCTTATAAAAATACACCAGCAAAATTAGTAAAATTGAAGAATTGCTACAGCCAATATGATGAGTTGTGATATTGGTGCGAGTTACAAATTTAACGAGGATCTAGTGAAATTGATGAGTTGTGGAGATAAAAACTTAATAATAAAGCGAGTGTTTACACGTACTAACTGCAAACATATCGTGATGGAATTAGCTTTCGATGTTGATAAAATTAAATTCCCTGTCGAAGGAGAAAAAAAAAATAACTATGAGGAAGTTCGGGGCGACGTTTCGGAATAATTATATGTATATTAATGATAATATCCATGACCGAAAGCACAATGTATAGTATCAAGTGTTTTATATGTATCTTTTAAATCTTCTTAAAAACAATTTCCCATCTCAGTGTTAACCTGACGCATGAAAGAGATTATATGATGAGATGGGCCGGGATACTACACAAGGATGTAATTATGAACAGGTATATAATAACATATCAATCAAGTTCTAATTATAGGTGGGTCATGGGGAGAGTTTGTATTCACTTTGGCCGGTATACCGGGCGTTTACGCTAAACTGTCACGGCGATTTTAGTTTATACCGCTTTCAATCGAGATGTATAGGGAAAATGTACGAGGAAATTTCTTTCGAGAAAGCCGGCAATATAAGTCGAATTTCATAACAGTTATCCAGATCAAAAGAGACAAATCGCTCAATTTTGTAAGAATCCCTTTTTCTCCGGGAATAAATAATACATTTCTATTCCGGAAGAGGGAGGTCTAAGGAGCTGTATCATGGAAATATTTCCCGTCTCTCACCTCCGATACTTCGGATTTCAATGCATGCGATACTCTGAATCATGAGTTTTTGGTATTATAGCACAGGACAATTTTTATTCACAAGCTATTGTAACATATTTCTCTTATTCTTTATATAACCTTGTTAACATTCATATAATCTGTATGGTAATTTATAGAGTCCAAAAAAATATATAACTTTCAATTATTTTAACTTATGTAGATACCTAATATTACAATTTTTCTGTATGCATGCATTATAGAGTGTTTGGTAATGTAATTTTTAAATAATTTTTAAATTGCATTCATCTGCAAGTACTTAACTTCCTTATATTATAATATATAATCTGTTTTACAAAGCTTTCCATTGGATATATACCTAAATCTATTTTCCACTATTTTTATTACAAAGTTTTGAAGAATAAATCAAGAATTTTCCCGGACTATAGCCCACCTCACCTATTTCGGTTTTCAATGCATGCAATACTGAATCATGATTTCTCCCGTATTACATGCGATTCCGATTCAAATGTTCACGTTTTGGTAGTTCCATCTATTTTCAGCTGACGCAGTCCCAGCATATCCCATTCCGGGGAGGCTGAGATTCCGGGAAAAATTTACGAATTTAACGTCCGGAATTTTCCCTACTTCTTTGTACATTTTACAGCGAGAGAAACGGCCGAAGGGGCACGGCGGGTTGGAAGCGCAGAAGTGGAAAGGGGGCGCTGTTTATCAGTGATGGCACGTTGTCTCTTCATTGCGATCCGTCAACCCGGAAAATGTTCGGATTATTTAAATTTTCGCTGCGTTCGATGGAAATACTTAAGTGTTTTGGGGTTTTAATTATTCACGGAAAATGTTTAACGATTTTAATGATTTCATGATTGCTTTTTTATTGGGAATACTACAGCGTGTTATCAATGTAATTCCTAAGAGATTTCATTGTAATCTTATTGGCACTAATTTTATTATATAGGGTGTTAATTAATTGAATTCCGATACTTCAGGATGTGAATATTTGATTGATTTTAAGAAGAAAACTTTATATTAATGCATGTATGTCCGAAACCTCTTAGTTGTCGAGCTACAGGATGCTAAAATTTTAGAAATCTCTAAAAAATAACTTTTCTATCATAATTTTCTTATTACTCCAGTTATTTTTAAGAAATATTGTATACACTTTTTAATTATTAAGGAGCATTTTTTGAGGAATAAGATTTTTTTTAAATTTTCACCAGTGACGTCCGTACGGGGTTTGAACTGAATATGTTTGAAAAAAAAAATGGTACACCACTGGTTTTTCTAAAAACTAAAATTATTTTTAAATCCTCATTTATTTTGTAGCAAATTCGGTCAGAAGACTTATTTTCGTACGACGCGCCATTTTCGCGTAAAAAAATAAAAACCAAAACCATTTTTCCCAAGTTCATTTTGATATTTGACTGCAGCTTTTGATATTTTGTTGAAATTTGATAGGCGCCCACCATGCATGGAATCACTTTTTTTTGGGACAAAAATTAATTTTCTACTATTATCAGTGACGTCCAGGTCCGAAATTTCATAAAAATATCTGCCGTAACCAGAAAATTATGATAGAATAAAGTTATTTTTTTTTCTAAAATTTTAGCATCCTGTAGCTCGAAAACTAAGAGGTTTAGGACATACATCGATATAAACTTTACTTCTTAAAATCATCCAAATATTCACATCCTGAAGTATCGGCATACAATTAATTAACACTCAGTATAAAAGATGTATGTATCATTTTATAGTGATTTTTCACTGCAATATTCACTGCAGTATTTACAATCTCAAAATGTCTTAAAGCTTTTCGCTAAATAATCACAAACTCCCTACACCAAAACGACCAATTCAAACGCTAGTGCATGAAACTTGGAAAATAGCACTTTAATGGAGGAACATAAGCACACCCTCGGTATATTTACGTATACAATGAGGCTGAAAATAAACCGGGGCATTAAGAGGTGTCGTCCACGCGACCGACACGCGCCTTCGCTTCTTTATACATTGTCACAACTTTCCGATTCTATCGGGTTACCCTCGCATTTATAAGCCCGTGTAGGTATCTCTCGAAACATCTTCGAGAGTGCACTCGAAAAAAAAAATAGAATTCGATTCTCCATTTCCATTGAACGGCGAACGGTAATTGCTGAAAGTCGACACCTCAAGGCGCCCAATAATGGCTTATACCGGAAATAACATTTTAACGTCATCAGTCAATTTCCTCCGGGGTTCGGATTGAGAGAGGGATATAAATGTTTACCTTAAATACTTTTCCTTCGGATACTCATCCACTACGAGTCATTGTTGTAAAAGTGTCTTCTTATTATATCTGTCGTTTTGATGGTAGGTGACAGGTGAGTTGTCAACGTCAAATAAATCGCAAAAATGGCGGATATACGCGCACCTTTTTCGTATCTAACTACATTGCATAATAAGTAATTAAGAAAAGGGCCTTTTAGGCTGTGTATATCGTCGGAAACGCAATATCCTCCTTATTATTTCGTGTTTATTGATCGAATACACACTTAGTGGAGCGAGATCGTAAAACAGTAAAAATGCAGATACTGTCAGAAGGCGATGATTTATGTTAAAATCGTTTTGTTCGTTCGGGGGGCGTTATTATGCAGAACACGTGACAGATGTCGCTCACAGCTAGACGGCGAAATAAAACGAAGATTATTATTGTTACTCGAAAATTCGACGATCTTATCGCCGAATCATTAACACCCTGCGCTTATTTGATGTGATGTGTACTATTCATTCACTATCTATTTGCACAATGGTTTGTCGTTTTAACGCTAAGGGAGATTGCGGTAACATTTATTTAACCCCAATATATTATTTATTCTATAGAACGTGTAAAAGTATTTTAATTATTAGGTCTCCAAAAAGGTGAATCTTTATAAATTTTGCAATAGCTTCAGCAGTTTCAAATATTAAATGTAATGAAATATTGCATGAAATATGTTCATATTTGCAGGTAGATTTTTTGTCAACGATACCTAATTATAAATAAAAATTTATCAAATAACTAAACATAACTAAGTAATTATCAAATTGTGATGCAAAGTAAATTAATTGTATCTACATTTTTCAACAGCACTAAATTGTACCAAAATCAACAAACCTAAATTATAATTATCATTCAATTAGTACAGCACAAGTTCGGTTAGGTAATTTAAGAGATACGAATTCAACCGAAACGTTCCAAACTCATTTAATCCCCGCTTCTCCCTGCCCGACAACGCGGCAAATCTCGCCTTTACGCCTCGTCCCTGCTCCTTAATCCCCGCGATTCCTTCGAACGATCCCCATTCCGTTCCCGAGGATTCCCCGGGTTACGGTCCAGATAAATTTTCGGCAATAACATAAAACAAGGCCTGTAAATTATTTTATTGGGCCGCCGAATGTCGCGCGCGCCGTCTCTCTCGCGCCCGTTCGCCAAATCGACGCGATTCCCGCAAGATGCCGGGGAGTTATGGGAGAGTGAGTGAGAGTTTCGGGTCGTCTGGCGGTAAATGAAAATGTTCGCCGCCTAAAAACTCGTTTACTTCCTGACATCGGATATAAAAACCGTCCTGCTGGAGGGATGTTTTAGCGTTGTCTTTTATTCGCCTCTTCTGTGGGATATTTTGACGTTTCTACATCACCCACATCAACAGTGACGTACCTTATTAATTTATTCTTCTTCGAGTAGGTTCTACATTTTATAAACTAACTATAGTTAATTCTTAACGCCATCATGACGGGCCAATTTTCCGCGAAACGGCAACTTCCACAAATCTTTTTCCGCTTTACTTTCGAGCCAACAAAAACCCTACCCCATCTCCTCCGATTCGCCCTTCCCTTCCTACGTAAGTACGAATTACGCGCGCCTTTATGAATACACAAGACCACAATAATCATTCACCGGTGTCGGGCGTTAGTCGGAATAGAGCGGGAATCCCCGCTGACAGGTCACTTTGCGGGGTGATTGATGTCGCCTGTATCGCTCTGAATATTTATGCGCCTATAGCTCTATATTGCCGCACGGAACGACACCTCATTGGCCGCCGAGGAATATTCCCGCGAAATTCTATTTTATACGTGGAAATAATTCGCCGAGATTTTTCACTCAGGTTCGCTCGCTCGAGGTTCACTCGACTACAATAACGGGGAAAATTTCAATCGGGAACGATTCGGTTTTGGAAATTTGTGCTTCTGGGAATTTGGGGCTGGTTCCTAATGGGGGTTCGGCTGGGGCTCAGGGGATTTGGTACAGAAAATTAACTGCGGTAGGGAATTGGTGAAGATTCAACTGTGAGGGTGTTTTATGGGGATTTGGCCAGAAAGCTAAGGCGAGTTATTGGCGCATCAAGTTTGATACAAAATATTGTGATTTGGCTCTATATAAGGGGCTCTAATTGAGGTATTTTACACGTTTGAATTGCTAATGTGAGTTATACTATAACATATACAGTTAAGAATAAATAATAAAATAAGATTATAACCTGTGTAAAATGGGTTAAGTAGAAGGCATTAAGTAACTTCGGTATGGGTAAATAACAGCCCCGTAGAATTTCAATAAAGTCTTAAGGAATTCCTTTTTCGAGCGGCAGCCGCGTCCGAAGGAGCATCGAATGGGTTAATCCGGACGCTTTAATGCGACAATTAAATAAAAATTTATGGTCGGTTTTACATAAATATCAATGTTCGAACATCGGACCGTCCGATAACTACTGGCGATATTAACTTGTCACTTCGACGGGATAATCTGAATTGAATGTAAAATTTATACCAGTTGAATTATTTGTCCTTGTCGCGTTAAGATTCCGGCGAGGATCGGCCGGCTTTCGAGCCAGAACCGGAGTCAAAATTTCAGTTTACATTATCATAGGACAATACTAATTTGTATAGGGTAATTTCCAAACCAATATGGCTCCTTTTTAATTATTAGATTAAAGAAGCAGTCAGCCTTAAGATTACTGTGAAAATTTGGTACATACACCTTATAAGGTTTAAAATACAGGTATAAACTAAAAGTAGATTGAACATACGCATTTTCATGCATGGTATTTCCAGTTTTAGATATAATTCTAGAATTATTTGTAGGTATTACAGAGGTATTTCGAAGCCGGTTCTGTAAAACTTACCATGTTTATTAATGGTAAGCAATTTAATTTTGTCGCCTTGCGACCGGCTACTCGATTTGGCAACAATTACGAAAAATAATTTATCGCTAGTTAATTAATTGAAAACGATTATTTACAAGTTTACCGTCAACGGAATTTTTAACCGCGATTAATTAATAAGCGACAAAAAATGGGCAAACAATCGTAATATTTCCCCCCGTCAAAAGTGCCCCTTTTAAAATCCATCGGAAAAATCGTTATTGGATATCGAGGAGTAATGTTTCAAAAATATAATCGACCCGAAAGGAATCGAGATAACATTGTTAAATATAATCTGCGAATAAACCCCCGTTTCATTGACTACATTACGGCACAAAGAAGAGCCCGGATGACATCATTTTTCCCTCGGGCATTCCGACCCCGCAGCAACCCCAAAATCGAACTGTACACATACGAAAGTAATTTTAATTTCATACCCTGATTTATCCGACGATAAACAACAATATAATCATTAATAAAAAGAGATTTATACGGTAGAATGAATTCAGGTAAATATAAACGATAATCAAATTTTAAATGCAATATTTAGGAATTGGAGAATCTATTTAGATTTAAAAAAATGTTTAGTGGAGGAATAATCTGTTGCAATAATAAACTATATCAGTTTTACTATAAATGACGGTATGTGATGAATTTTCTGAGTCGCGGCAGTGGCGATAAAAAAGAAAATTAAAAAAATATATATAGTATAAGGATAAATAATTGTAATAAAATAATCGATTTTCCATTATGTGAATATGTATTTATATGAAAAGCACCAGCATCAAAGAAACATTTTATTTAATATAACAATACGAATAATAAAAGATAAATTACAATTAGATCGGATTAATTTTGGTATATTTGTATGAAATATGAGACACGGAATGTATACGAATGGTATCTTTTTGTAGATAAACGGGTATAATATCGACATTTTTCATGTTGGCTATCAATTCAGTTATAGACTCTGTTATCTTTATTAAAAATAGCGATGCATGTTCGATCGTATTTTTTGTGCGCCAATTCAATATCTGACATAGAATAGATGCAAATCTGCGGCTATAATCTATTAAATTTACTAATTAAATTTGAAAAAAAAAATAAAACAAGCCGGATTAGCCATAAATTTCCATCGAGTTATCAGTTCGTCGACGACAAAAAATAACGTATCATCTAAATTCAACTACACCGTGAAACGCGAAAAAAAAAAAAATAAATAACCGAAAAACATATTGACATCAGGGCCCATTCTTCAATAATGATATTCACCGATTTGGGTGGGTAAACATCGCCAGGCGGAGCCGCCGTCGACCAATCGCGGCTCCTCCGCACTCCGGAGTTATTTCAGCGGAACAGCCAGCACGCCCTCTGTCAGTCCACCGTAAGATATTCAGTGAACAGAACCGACTGCGACGTAACGCACGCTCCTATGTGAACCCCTCACACACACATGGACACCTTCGCATCATCGCATGCAATCGCCCCGACGACAACCAGTGACCAGTGCTCGTCGACAGTACCAACATGCAGTGATCGCAAGTGACCTAAGTGCACGCGGTGGTGTTCTTCGCGACATTGACAAAGTGCAGGCCGACAAGATGGTACTGGAATCGGGGGTGCTGCCGCCGCCGCTTCAGCTCTACGCAGCGGCGGCCGCCCATCTGGCGCCGCGGCCTCCTTGGGCGCCGCTGTTGCAGTTCCCCGGCGCTGCCCAATTGTTGGGCATGCACGGCGCCTTCTCGCCGCTCAACCGGCCCAGGTATCCGCACGGTTTGGGGCCGGGGTTGCGGGCGCCGCCCGGGCCGCCTTCCGAAGACAGCGGCAGCGAAACCGTCGGCAAAGGTAAGATCATTGTTCTACTTGAAGCCAGTAGTTAACCGACGGTTAGGAAAATTGATCGGTCAATTAGCCAATGGGTAGAAAAAGAATTGGATGAATGGTTGATATTACAACGAAAAAAACATAAAGATAGCTGATAAAATGAGAAAAATTTATAAGAGATAAAGTCTTCAAAATGAGCAAATCATGATCAACATTGAAACTGGAGTAGATGCCTCCGTAATGATGAAATTGTATGTAAAAATGGTAACTCTTATACCAGCAATCATTTAAATAAACTGCATGCATGGATCATAATGTAATGATATTAAAGAATACTGCAATTGTTGCAGCATATAAATAAAAAATACAAAACCAGTGAAATGAAAGGGAAGAAAAATATGAAACAAAAAATGGTTTACAAATTGGCAAAATTTTAATCAGATTACTAGATGATGAAATTGTGTTTGAATCTATTCGAACTTTCACCAGCCAATTGAAGAGCGCATAAGTATCTTCAAATATGTTGAAAAACTATAATAATGTTGCAAATAATATTATTGGGCAAATTTTGTAATTATTAAGTAAGATTTAAGATAGGCTGAGCCAATTATTACACGTTTGCAATTGAAATTAGGTAATTCATAAATTAACTCCTTCGCCAATATATTCCAAAATTTTGGTCCCCAAAAGTATAATGTTTTTGGCTTTTAGGTATACTATTGGTAATTGTTAAATTGAAATATAGTAGCGTTTGCGCCTTTGGCAAAAATGGCAAATGTTTTAATATAGAAAAAGTACGGGCAAAATTTCACCGACGCAGAGCAAAAGCCAATAGGGAAATTCAAGAGTATATTTGAATTTTTACATTTTCATCTTTTCTTATGCAAAGAATAGCCAAAAAATTATATACCAAATATGTCTCCTTTTTTAGTTTTTTAATTTCTTCACTTTGACTATTATTTTTCTATTCATAAAATTCTATTACTTATGCTTTTCTTTTGTACCTATACCAGAAATTTCAATTATAACAGAACACCAAATTTCCTTTTTAGCAATTGATAACTAATTTCATAAGTTTCTTCATTCTACCAATAATTTCCTCACTTTGACTAATTTTTTGCTATCATTCGCTTTATCCCTTCATTATTTCTTTTATCCTCTGCTTGAAATTCATTAAACTTACTAGTTTTTTTAGTTTAAATGAAGTAATATACCTACTTTGTCCATACTGAGTTCTTTGTTCCAATGTTTCAAGAAACTTGTTATATTATGGATCTTTAAATAATTGATTAATATACACCTTTTTCCTTCTTTTCATGCTTTTATACACTTCCACGTTAGTTAATTATTAATCATGGCCGTCGATTTTGCTTCGGTAATTAATTTTCGCATTATGTGATAAGAGCTTTTAACGGTAGATTAAATAAACATTTATACTTATAATATCCTATTTAATAAAATAATAAAAAAAGCTCGGAATCATTGATGTTCGTTTTAGAAGAAAGAAATATGAATAAGTTATTATTAACGAACGCATAAAAAACCCTTTTAATAAGATAAATATTTAACGCTAAACGGAGTCGTAACGTTTAACAAACGAAAATAAAAATGTTTATGTTAGAAATCAGTCACTTTATGTCTTTCCATATAATTTTCAATAATTTTTATGGTTATTGTTCAAATATTTATCCGCGTATTTCGAAACAAAAACAATAGATAGTTAGAGTTTAATACCATTAAAAATTATTACTAAATATTTCTGTTATTGTTCGTTTAATCGATTTTTATTACTGCTATGAAAACCACTATAGGTACATCTTCTGTCGTATCTTCGCTTCGAACGAGGAGGTAATTGAAATATTATATTATATTTAATTAAAATTTAAACAATCAATTCATTTATACTAATTAGGTACCTTAGTTTTCAAACAGATGAAATTTTAAATTATTTTTAATACAATAAATGAACTAAACAACGATATAGGCAAAATTGATCAATTTTATATTTATTTTTAATTTTTTTCTAGATAAGTTTGTACTGAAATAGACCGGCTTACATGTGTTACAAATTTATGACTCCCCTTATACCACCATAGTGATCTTATGGTAGGAAAAAACGGGATAAATCTGGGTATGTGCTGCCTTATAGGTAGGTAGATACCATTATTGCGCAAATAGATAAAAATATTGTATTACCTTTTTATATCTCCTTAACTATAGTGTCATATTTTCTTTGTTCACTGCAACGGATTTTTTTTTTGGGGAGATAGGTACCTCAGATAAACGCGCAATGGTACTTACATATGATGCAGACGTAATGTGGCATACATAAAGTCAATTTTATTCGATTTTATCACTCCGTCGACGGCACAACTCCCATTACTCAGTCGTAACGTCTCAATAATATTCAATCTTCTTGCCGATTTTTTCGGCGCACCATTTTAAACGCATTCATTTATACGGCTGCGGGCCGATTACCTCCGATTGTAGTTATTCAAATTAGGGCTATTAAAAATTATCGTCTATTGTATTATAAATAAATATTAACGATTCGATTATATAGTCATTTAAAATGGCAAGGTTCCACTATTTCTTACGCGATTAAGCAACTAGTAGGTACATTTTTCCCGCGTCAAATATATTCAGAAAACATTAACAGCACTATTGTTCCAACAATGCATGTAGACCTTAATAGCTTCTTTTGTTGTTGCTTAGGGGTGAGATGGGCAACCCACGTTCTACATCCCACATCCCCGTTAATCTTCTATAAATATTTACCATTTCAACAACACCGAAATAACAAAAAATACAAAACTCATCTACTTTCACCGTATTATTTTCTTATACAGATTCATTCGAGTTAGGTTTTTTTTATTTTGTTTCATAAAAACTTAGCCCCATTAGCCCCTACTGATAATTACCGACCAGAAAGATATAATGTCAGAGATAAACTGTTCAATAACAACGATATTATAAATGTAACTGTTAATATACATATACTAACACTTATAAGTTTTGTAACTTATTCAAAACAAATTGACCTATTAAAATGCGCTTTTCGCTGATCGATTTAATGTAAATATGATCTTACAACTTTATTTTATTATAAGCTATAGAAGAGTTTCCTTTTTGTAGGTGTATCTATTTCATTGTTTTGATAAACTATCTAATGGCGATAAATTGGTAATTAGTAGTAATCTTTGCATAATTTATTTAGACTTCACTTAGTTAGCTTGAAGCTAATTTCAAAAGTTTTAAAAATTTTCTTGGGATATCATTCTAATTTAATAAAAATGTTTAATAGTGCTTAAATATACAATTATGTTTAAATTGAATTAAAATTTAAATTACAATTTTTAAAAACAGTTCTTTATCTACCTCATAATTGTTTCCTAAAATGCTAATGAATTCTTAAATTAAACAAGGAACTATTTGATAAATTTCTAAACAACTTCTAAAGTATTTTACACGTGTAAATTCGCTTGAAAGCTCCTTAACAAACAGTGAACAAGTCGGCATAAACATTCCTGCCCGGTATGCCAAGGAAGGCAGTAAATTAATTATGAAAAACCATCCGATAGAATGAAAAGAAACCCAAGTCAAATATATCACGCTCCTTGGAAGATTTAATAACGGCCAGGCTTCCACTTCGCCTCTTCCAAAATATATAAATTTAATTATAACATTTCGGTACCGCACGCGATATTTCGTATATTAAAAAAAACGGGTTTTAAAGCGTATACCTCGATTAATATAATATGTTTATTCGAATTTATCGCGCCAATAAAAACGAATTTAATTTCGTTTCTTGAGCGCGAAATTTAACGATAGCTGTCGGGCGTTTTAAAACCATTCCTCTTATAATTGGCTACTAAACGGTAATTCTCATTAAAGCTCGACTTTCCTAATTGAAGCGTAAAAACTTTATTAACTAAACTTTATTTTGGAAAAACTTATTTCGCTAAACGAACCATTACTTATACAGTAAAACTAATTAGGTGTCTATTATAATGAGAATATCGGTATACACCCTGTAAAGTTAATTCGCAAAAACTTCACCGCTATATCAGTAATTATTAGAGAAAATCACAATGTGGTAATATCGTATCCCAAATGTAAAAAAACATAAATACATGTGATGTTAATGTGTTATAATTGCCTAATCATAATTCACCCTGCATATATACGAACGAAGTGCCATAATTCCTTTATTTTCGAATCAAATAAAGCTTTCCATCGATACACCACATAATGGAATAACAAGCTCTTTAACCGCACAACAAACAACCTAATATTCCACCCCCTAAAAACCCATCCTCGAAATCCCCGGGTCGATTCTCCTAAAATCCCCCGTTACATTTTTATTCGTCGATGATTTATATTAGTATTAAGTTCGGTGTTGTTCAACCTTCTGATTTGTTCTATACAATAATAATAGAGTCTGGCTGGTAAATGGGACTCGAGGGGGTGATAGCTCAACGGGGAGCGCGCGCGCGACCCTCACTCAATTTACCGCTACATTATAACGTCGCGTTGGTTAAAATCAACCCCACGGTGCATGTCATTAACACGCAGAAGAATTGTCAGCGAACGATAAAGGATTTCATTTTTACAAGGATATTGGTAGTTTCGGAATTTTGGCGATCTGACGAGGCAAAACATACAACGTTAAATAAATCGGCTAGTTATCTGCAGATATATTTGTAAGTGAAAATTTTGGGCTATACATAATACAAGATTCACAAACATAATGTAATGAAAGATTTTTTTTAATAAATCTGTATAAGATTTTTTAGACAACGAATTTTTGTATAGTAGCTTTGTATATGGAATTCTATAGGGAATGGCAGTAAAACGAAATATATTATAAATTGCGAAATTAGCAATTTACTGAGTTCTGTAACTAAGTGTTTAATTACAATAGGTAGTTGAGGTTTTTTTTATTGAACGATTCGTTTTAGTGTTGATCTTTCTCAGTGGTTTCGTCGATTAGGAAATCATTTTATAATTCGCTTTACTTTGAGAAAATTGTTTTTGCAACAATTTTCATTAAATAACCACAAATCGGATCATCAAGTAGGTATACTTTGTTACAAAATTAAGAGTGTTTTGTAAAATAAACTAAAAAGTTAATTAAAGATAAAATTAATTGTATAATGAACTAAAAACTAAGAATTACTATTACTCTACTCCAAATCCAATTTTCTCAATGTGGTCATCATAGTTGGTCATCGTTTTTATTCTTAATATTTCTTTTTTAATGGAGCCAGTCATAAGCTTTATTAAAACTACAAACGATATAAGTTTTATTTTAACTATTGCAGTGGTAGAGAAATGTTGTAAGCTGTTACAATTACCTTAGGTATTAAGGTATGTATATCTTGAAGGGTGGACAATTAGCGCTTGCAGGCAGTTAATCAGAATCGAACCAATTTGTAATTTAGCGTAAAATCTCCATAAAATAAACCATAAAGGTAAATAAACCAGTAGTTTAGTCATTTTCGCGTCCGACCGGTCTTAATTTTACGACTTCCAACCGACCGGGGACTCGGTCGGTCAATATCAATTAAACTCTCAATATGTTAATATTTAATTTCCGAGAGCACCCAGCTATCGTTTTTTTCACGTATTATATACATATACTTTTATTTTTCATTCAATAAAATTACGAATTCAGTAGTCTCGGGCAGTAAACACGTCCGACGAAATGAAGACATTTAACGATTATGAGCGTCTTGATCTTCATGCATACGTAATCCCCTTACGTATGTGTAAAGGCGATAAACTCAGATTTGGGAAATCGAGAAAATCTCGTCCGCTTAATAAATTACACCTAATTCTTTCGGGGATTAACAGAATATAATAAAATAATTCATATTAATTTTGATCGTTTTAATTATGTTTATACTTGACATTTCTTGTAGAGACAAAGAGACAAAAGACATTAGAGACAAAAGGAAAATACAAAATCGTTTCGGGAACATTAATTGTGGAAGATACGAAATTGATTCTGGCAAAGAGCGCGGCGTTATCTGGATAACCGTAACGGATCGAGGCCATATATCAAATTATTCGCGTCCGAAAGGAACCAGTCGAGAAAATTATACGGCCATTCGACATGCATACTTATCTCTATTCAATTCGGCGAGGAAAATTGAACTAGCCATTTTTGTTCGGATTTATTCGACTAGCGGCGATTTTTATCTTGAATTATCGCCAATTTTACATCCCTTAATAGTAAGTAGTACACGCACAACAAACTCGTATATTCAATTTGGATGGGTCAGTGGGGCATTTTATTATCAAAGTTTTACTCATTTTATTTGATTCTTGATGGGTACTAAAAGTTATACCACAACTTTGCTGTTAAATACGATACCCATTAAAGAATTGAAAACCTAAATGAGGATTCAAGTAATGACCCCAATATATTGGTCGCTTTAATATTGAATTATAGGTTTTAGTTGATTCTATTAAATACAGAAAGGAATAAAAACGAAATTATTCAAAATTAACGAGACGATCAAATTAATAATAAATTTCGAATTCGACATGTCGCTAAAGAAGTTGCAAAAAAGCTGGGGCACTTAATGCTAATAATTCATTAGCGCTATCATATACAGCCATGCATATTTCATGAATAAATAACTCGCGAGTCCGCCGCCATGTTTACCATATTTAAACACAATCGTAATTATGTACCGCGTCGCATATAATCGCTCGATCTGTTGTCGAGACATGAATGCGTTAAAACTTTGTTTTCTTGTTTATATTATATCATTGAGCATCTCGCGCGACGAATAAACCCGCAAACTCGTTAGCACGAACCGATTTTAATGCAATTTAATAGAAAATGAATTGTTTAGTTCCGATTCCGATTAGATTAGTAAATAAAACATAATTACTGCATAACAAGTTTAATAATTACTGATCTTCAAATCCCCTTCAACGATGTTATTTTCTAAGACAGCTCCGCCGGGGACGAATATTTTACCACCCTCGTTTGCGATGATGACGACAGTACCTTTTAACACAACACCTTTACCGAATGATACGTCTCCAGTTACTATAAGTAAATCGAGATCCAGCATATCGGGGATCGATTGGAACCTCTTCAAGGCCTGATCGACGTTTTTGAAATATTTTTCATCGAGAGATAGAGTCGGTAGGGTAGGGAAGGTTCTCTTCGACGATACCACCAACGTGCCGTTTTGTACTTCGTAGATGTTGCTCATGATCAGTATGAGATCGGAAGTTTTCTTCACTGGTAGAAATCTGCTTCTGGGCACGTTGATGCCTATGCCGTTATCGAAGAACTTCATAGCGGCACCGATAGCGGTTTCTAATTGTACGACCTTCTCGCCTGTCGCTAAGGATTTGTTGTTCACTATAATGTCCATGTTCAGTTGGTTCTCTCTAACCAATCGGTCGATAGCTTTCAGATCTATCCACAAATTGTTGGTATTGAAGTACTTGAAGAACTTAATCGATTTGAAATCGTTGACGTGTTCGTCGGGTACTTGGGCTATCTCCAGCAAGCACATTTTGCCATCGTATTCGATCAAAGTGCCACCTTTGACGTCCGCCCGGGTTTTATCAGTGAGCTCCATCACGAATTCCGGTATGTTGCATCTGAAGCAGTCGCTGACGAGCAAAGACAGTATTCGCAGGTCCATCGTGGCGCCTAAATTGTCCACGTTCGATACGAAACAGTACTGTTTACCTTCGTCGATGAGCTTGTGCAACAGCCCCGACTCCCAGAAGCTGGTGTAGAAGTCGCCGTGTCCCGGCGGATACCACCCGTCGTGGAATTCCTCCACATTGCCCGTCTTCACCACAGGCATTAGCGTTTCTTTGGATATCCTCGGATAGCAGGATTGGTTGAATGAGTAAAGGGCGATGCCGGAATTTCGCATCGAATTCAGCACTTTATCGGTCTGGTCGTTGGTGTTGAACGAGTTCATGAAAACCAACGGGATTTTGGTGTTGTATTTGCTGTTCAGGTGCTTGATCTGTTCGATGGTGAGGTCCAAGAATGTTTGTTTGTTCTTTATGACGATCTGCGATTTGGGACCGGAGCAACCCATCGAGGTGCCCAAACCGCCGTTCAATTTCACTATGACTATTTTTTCGAGCATTTCCTGCTGGTGAGTGTTGGGCTCCTCCAGGTTATCGTACTTGACAATCATATCATCGGTCAGGAATTTGATCTTGTTCCATTGTATGACGTTCCCTTTAGTCTCGACGAATCTCGTGAACAGCTTGAGGTACTCCAAAAACTGCCGTTTCTGATCCTGCTGGTGCACCCCGCTGGTGGTACCGATTATCGTTTCGAGTTCCCGCTGGAAATCCTCGATTTTCGAAGTGTTCATGACAACATTTTAGTTCGTTGTATCGTTACAAATAGTAGTTTTTACGCGAATTTTGATTAGATTGATTACAGTTGAAGTTTTAAGGTTATCAAAGCATAACCTAAAAGTTATATGAAATGCGAGGTTGCCGCGTTTGCGATTTGGCTGTAATTTCACTGAAAATAATAAAGGTGTAATTTGCAGTGTTGGCACGTTGGGCTATTTTTTTAGGAGATTACTGAAAACTGTGTATATTGAGTTTTGAGTTGGTAGGAAAGGAAGTGTTTTTTTTTTGTTAGCGTCTGGTAATAAACGTGATTTATCGAATTCGGGGAATTGCGGCGACCGGCCGGCAGACGTAGATATATGGTCGAGATAGATAAAAGTTTTCGTTTCGCATAAAGCGAAATATGCGAAGATATCGCCGGGGAATACGTTTGAAATAAGATGGATATATACATTTATCAGATCGAATTTTCCCGATACAAATTTTTCTATTTATTTTTCCCGTTCCGGCCGCCGACAAACGTTGTTCTGGAAAAATCGATCTTTAAGTGAATTTCTTTTCAGAACCTGTACAAAAATCTATAAGAGTTTCTGGTATAACAGTGGAAATTAATTAAAATATCTTTAACATCATTTTGAAATTTCATATTATTAAATTTTTGATTAACCAATAACAGTACGGCTGTATTTTATTGCAAATACAGGGAGAGCTTTTTATTTTCACGCCGTGGAAAAAATTGAAAAATGAGAAAAATCAAATCGCTTTGAGGGCTTAATTTTCTCCATCAGCAAATGCGAGTGTTTTAGTCGTTTTTCCGTTTCGACGCTTCGAGGCTCTCGAGGTAATTGTCGGGCTGCGTAACGAAAACGTTCGATAAACTAACGCTTAACTTAATCATTTATCCGCTAAGCAGGAATGAAGTTTCAATGATGACGATTTTTCCATTATACCATTATAACGGCGATTCGGATTTCTTGAGTTTATTGATCAATTTTCGAAAAATCGCCGACGAATATCCATCAATATTATGAAATTCCACCTCAATAAGTTCTTTCTTTCGAGTTGATCAAACACTTTGCCAATTTTCGCCAAAAAAGTAGCTGTTTTTTATTTCGAGTGAAACTCAATTGAACGGAACCGATCAGAAATACAGAAAATAAAGAAATTACCCGTGCAACTCGAATAGAAACGACTATTGAAAAAGCCGTAATTTAAAATTTCACGGATATCGTGAAATTTGCCTCAGTTAATTTGCGGTCGTCGAGGTAAAGAAATAAAAAAGTATAAACCTCTTCCGAAACCCCAATTCTTCAGTTTCCTTCAATCACTTCGAGCACACAGATTTTAAATTATTAAACAAATTTATAATCAAATTTAATGTTCAAAAGTAACTAATTTATGAGCCTTTATAATAGGTGTAATATTCTTTTTACGCGACAGTCTAATACTATTTTATCTGGTTTTTAAGTGATGTTAGCACAATAATTTTAATCGTTTAATTAATCTATCTAGCTTTTAATTAATTATTATTAATTCATTGCGACCCTATATCTAGGAACATCGACATTTTTTTCTGACCTTTCTTAGCGAACCCATTAAAATTAATATTAATTCTATTGATTGAATATAAATTTAATTAGAATGATAATTGTTTAACGATTCAAGGATAAATGTCGAAAAACTACAATATAAACTAAATATGAATATTTTCAATACTTAAATCGTTATTAACGTCGATAAAATATTATAATCGTTACGAAAAACGGAACTTTTATTAATTTATAAATATACATGAGAAAATTGCTCAATTTCTGTTGGATTTCGAAACGAATAATTTACATTATAGAAGATAAAAGAAATGACCAGTTTTGCGCATGCATTTGCATAGTAAAAAATTGTTATTTGTTGCAATATTAAATGCGTACCTTCTATAAAAGTTATATGCAATAATTGAAGTTCAATAATACTGCCATTTATTTGGCCCTTACTTATGTATACATATAGATTTAACCTAAACAATTCCTCTAACAAATTAAATCGAAAAGCATTACAGCAAACGACTAACTGAATTAGATAATAATTCGAGCGCCGGGGCGATAATAGATGCCCAACAATATCGCATATTATCGAAAATCGTTCGCTCAGAGAATAAACTATTAACGTGCACTAATGTAGTAATGACAAACAGGCGTTAAACGTAATAGTTACAAATTGATAAAGGTTTCGGCATTAACAAGTAAACGCGTCGATTTGTCCGGGACGTTCGCGTTAATCCGGCCGGCCAATCGAAAACGAAACGACCTCACCGCCCCCTCCCGGCGCATAAATCAACCAACAATTGAATACGATTCAATTCCGACGCACACACAAACAACAAATTATTAGCCGAGGTGCTTTGCATATATCGGATTTTCGACGCCGGCTGTTGCCTAGCCAAATCGATTGCTTCGCATAATTGGAAATGTTCTACTACAACGGGAATATATAGGAATGACGTCATCGTTACGTTAGTTTGGTCGTACTATATGCAATATTAATTTGGAATATTCTTTGCAGGCGGCGCTGGAAGTAGCGGTGAAGCGGATTCGGAGAGCGCCGCGTCGAAGAGACGCCGGAGCCGGACGAACTTCAATAGTTGGCAATTGGAAGAATTAGAAAGGGCATTTCTCGCTAGTCATTATCCGGACGTCTTCATGAGGGAGGCGCTGGCCATGAGGCTCGATCTCAAAGAAAGTAGAGTAGCTGTAAGTACCCGGATTTTTGTATCATTATACCCACAATTTGAAACCCAAACCATCCACTAAACTTGATATTAACCTAAAAGATGAAGTCTACACATAGACTTCATTAAAACCATGAAACCACATTAAAAAAACCACTAAGAATCATCATTTACCTCACTTAAGGAACACTAATCAAAGTTTAATTGGCAATAGTAGAAATAAACTTTGCATATAAAAACAACCAATTTACTTTTATACCAACCAACTACATTATTAAACCACCGGCATCAAAAATCCCTATAGACGGTCCATTTGGTTCTTTTCCTCAAACAGATTCTATAGCATCAGGTACTTCCCACATACCGCCATTTCGGTCATAAATACGAAGGGAAATTGAAGATAATTGCGTCATCGGCATCGACATCGAGACGTTTATTGGCACAGGCGCGCGCAAATTTATTTACACACGTTTAACAATAATAACGGCTTTCCGTGCGCTCCGGCCGCAATAAAAATCGAAGCGAATTCGAAAATTGAGTTATTATTTCTCTATTATAAAGCCCGAGCGAAACGGTAATTTGTAAGATTCAATGTAGACCGAGAGACCCCCATTAATAAGAAGTTAGTTTTTTCCACTTCTACGCGGCAGGGTCGGTAATTATTTTCGAATTAATTCAAAAGATTGATTTCGATAAGGCGAATTCGCCGCGGTCTCAGTGCATGTACTTACGTGTAAGCACGAGAATTCTCTTAAATCGACTCTAAAATATGGAAACCAACTTTGCCACCTGCCATTTATTATTCTATTAGAAGAAAATAAGTAGATAACATATATCACTTTATCAAAATAAAATTATTATACACTGAAGTGTGGTGGAATATTTTGGCAACAATATTACCCAATTTCTACGCTTTGATAATCTCCCAATTATTCCACCAAAAATTGACAAATCAGGAATCAAAAATTAATTTTATTACATAAAAAAAGATTTTCGTATTAATATAATAGTTTTCTATTTGATACGTGATGTTTGTTTAAATAAATCGATGAAATTGTTTTTTGGAAGCGAGCCATTTCCTGGAGAATTGATCGGCCCGAGTATAGTGCGCACGACATTCGTATAATAAATTATGTAACCCTTGACATATTTTAATCTTATTACCGAGCCTGCAACTGCGACTTAATACCTGTTATTTCGGTCGGACGGAAAATTAGAACGGGCAATTTGAGGTTCAGGTCTTCAGGTAGTCTATTAAATTAATACGTTTTCATGGGAGTGGAATAGAATATTTTTAAAATAATAATAGGTAGAAAGCCGAATATTGTTTTGGACGGTTTCTCGGAACAACATTGAGTTATAAGAGGCCGAAGGCGTAATTATAAACCAGCCAATTAAACGGCTAACTAATTACAATACAATGAGTAATTAATGCGTTTTCTTATAGAGCTATAGGCCGACTACCGTTTACTCTAATCGCCATTTTGTCTCGATTCGAAAACAATCTAAGGAAAAGGGACGTAGAGCGTCGGAATCTCCCGCCGACGTTGCCAGTTAATGTATATATCAGGGCGTAATGTTGCGGTCAGTAAATCGATCCTGAGGGATAGAAAAACCTCTTTTTTTCCGTTCACCCTCTCCCGACCCTGCCGACCTTTCGAGATTTCCGCTCTATCGAACCCCCGCCTGACACCAAGGGCGGCACCCGCAACACTTCATTCGGACCTGAAGGGTATACTTTTACCGTTAGGTATCCTTTATTCGATTGGGAACAGGAAAATTGCTTCATAAATTAGGTGCTAAAGCGATATGTTATACTAAACATGTTAATTTGCTGAATATTCATGCAAGACGTAGACAAAGGTGTAAAAAATTATGTAAAATAACACTATGCGAATTCGTTTTGATAAATACGGTTAGGAAATAACAGTACAGGAATATTGTATCAACTTTTAAATTTAATAATACTATGGTTATATTAGTCTTTAAATAGTTCTTCAATTACCAGTAAAAAGTACCTACCTGTGTTATTTTAATAAAATCCGATTAAATAAAAGGAAATGTATTACAGGGAAATTTTATTGGCGCGTTCATGCCCTTCCGGAAACATATTTTTTCCTTCGGCGCCCGCGGAAAGGTTGTCTTCGGGGAATATCAGGGTTAAAGACGTTGCTTTATATTGAGTTTAGTTCACTCCTTTGGCGTCGGGACCGCATCTAAAAGGACTTCGGTTTCCGCGATGTTTATCCTGCGATTTGTTTTTTTTCCCGCCGCCTTTTCTGACCAGTAAATTTGCAGGGGTGAAAAAAAAATTCGATTAAAAGTTGGCTTCGCCCGGCCGTACGTATAGTTAAATAAACAAGTTCTTTTCTATTCTTCGCGTCCGTTTTCCGTTCGATCTCCGTATATATGAAGGCATCAACCTTAAAACAATCAATTTGTATGCATAACATGCGATTAAAGTACGGGCGTCGGGTAATAGTCGACGAGGGGTGAGAAATAAATAAAGAATCGGAGGGTGGTAGTTTGGTAGCCGTGATTGGATCGGGGAATTGCGCTGTAATTTTCCGAAAAATCGATTATTTATTTACCTAGTTTGCTAAATTTTTTACGCTTCCTAACGTAGAAACATAGCGAGTAAACTGACCAGTGCACTATAACACTAGCTACACGCCACCGGAGTTCCAGTACCCAACATCCCGCCTCCCACCCCAAATTACCATGTTAATTACAGCGTGCCCGTTCTGTCAGGGTGTTCGGAATCGTAGCGTGATACAGTGCAATATTAATTTTCATGATTTTCGCCAAGCAGAACCCCCTTCGAGCCGCCGGTTTACACAGCGTGGAATATTGCTTATACGACTTAATTTTCAACACGAATTTATTTACAGCCGGTTCTAAGCAAACATTCATTCTCTACTTTACCTCTAAATTAATGTTTTTTGCGGAATATTTAGGCCTATATACAATTATACCCCAGTTGAATAGCAATTAACTACACACACTCAAAAATGTTTTGCATATTTTATATGAAGTTAAAATGCCACTGACCATTTATTATTTGAAATGTCTTTTGTTAAATTGAAACACCTGTCTTCAAATTTTCACTTCTGTACATCCAAAATCTTTCAAACTGCTGCAAAAAATTGTTTTTTTGATTTCACCTTTGACACTCTTTATCTTTTTTATTTTCAATATTTTACTAAAGCAAGTCGTCAGATCGTAATATTTTAAGGCCCAGAATCTTTCCCTTCACTTTTGGACCATTGCTTACGAACCACCCTGTATATACACTCTCAAAAATGTTTTGCATAAAAGAATAAACATATAATACAATGAATTATTTGTAAAATTACTCATCAAAATTAGTTTCCAAAAGGCATAAACATCACTTAAAATTAACAATAAAAGCAATTTAACAAAAGACATTTTAAATAATAAATGGGTAGTTGCATTTCATCTATATAATAAGCAAAACATTTTTGAATATGTATATGTTGTTACTACAATTAATTATGATTAGCTGATAACATGAATATTACATTTACAAAGTTTCTAGAGAGATCCCTACTAAGTTATCCCTATTTCCATTAGTTCCTAAAAGGGGAAATCATTTGGGTATACACCATAAGAATCTCAACTAAAGAGTCTTCGATTGAAGAAGGAATTGAAGAAAGAATTTAACGGGGTATTGTGTTCCAGGTGTGGTTCCAGAACAGGCGGGCCAAATGGCGCAAGAAGGAGCACACGAAGAAGGGCCCGGGCCGGCCGGCGCACAACGCCCACCCGCAGTCCTGCTCGGGGGAGCCGATTCCGCCGGCGGAGCTGCGGGCGCGGGAGCGCGCCCGCCGCCGCAAGAAGCTGCAGAAGGCGCTGGAGCGGCAGGCGCGCAAGCTGCGCGCCAAAGGCATCGCCGTCGACCTGGTGGCGCTGAAGCGGGAGTACCTGGCGCAGCGGGGCGGCGACGCGGCCGAAAGTGATAGCGACATTGACGTGGTGGGCGATTCGGGCGCCGAATCGGAGAACTTTAATAACAGCGAGAGCGGTAGGTACTCGTCGTCGGTGTCGGAATCGGGCGTCGATTTGACCGGCGGCCCGCAGGACGATAAGATTCGCCGGGCGAATCCGTTTAGTATAGATTCCTTGCTGAATAACAATACTTGAAATATTGTCTGAATGGATGTACTCGTGCAATAAGGTTTATTTTGTTGTTGTAAGTATATTTGTTGGATGTTGTTTTTTTTTCAATTGATGGCCATATTGAGACAATTAACATAAATTAATGTTTCGACACAAATATCCTGGATAAATTCATTTTATCCACTACAATAGTTTATGATAAGGCATCTCAATGTGTACTGATTTTGTACAAAAAAATTGCGGATAAAATGACAATATCAAATGTGTAAAAGCATGAACTGTAGGTAAATTTTGGGCATAACATTACAAATTTGTGAATAGAAGATACTCATTTTTTTCACTAGAATTTATCTACTGTTTCTATCAAATTTTGTTAACCAAATTTTCAAAGCCCCTTTACACATGTTTATCAAAATTTCGACCAACCAGACATTCGTTCGTACAATATCCTGTTATTTTATTATTGTACTAATTGTAAATATACTTGTGGACATATCTTACTATTTAATTCCTGTTTTTTTACTATGTTTTTATTTATCCTTGTACATATATATCATACCTTGTACATACGCCATCCAACCTTCCATTATGAATTAATTTATTATTGACGATTTAGATTTAAGTAAGACATAGCTACAGCAATATGTGAAACGATTTCAAGATGTATTCTAGATGACTAAAATGCTTGGTCTCGTTTTCAACACTAGTCTATGTATATTTAATATACAAATTGGATTATTGGTAAATTCAGAAAGGGAAAAATATTGGGAAAAATTCAATCTAAAAATTTTATTTAGGTTCTTAGGTTTATTAAATTGAAAGTGCTACAAAACGAAACCAAATATTTCAATTAATTTCATTTGTGTATGTAGTCAAATGAAAAACCGCCGAAACGTTTATTTGTAACATATCAAAAACAACGAATATATTTTTTAACGTGAGTTGGACCAAAATAGCAATTTCATCGAGTTTGTAAAGATTGTTATGTATACCTACTCGTACATGAACTTTCACATAAACAAAAGATAATCTCTTAACGACCAGATAATATATTTTCCAATTTTCATATTCATTAGTTAGGTACTTTGAAACTAACATTGTAATTGCTAATTTCAGTAGTTCGTTGTTAATTTTTCAATTAAAATGATAAAAAATTAACGACGAAAGAGACACCACAGCGAAAATGCGTGAACGTTCGAGCGGCTTTTCATTTCTCTACCGGTCAATTAATGGTACTCTTGTCCGTGCTCTAATATCAGTCTATTATAATTACGTAATGAAAATATAATTTATTCAATTTCGATGGACTTTTATTCACTTTATCCTCGTATTTGCAGGTTTTTGACGAAGCTTCGTGAAAATTTTCGTATAAATTTATACATTTATTTTCTTATAAAGAAGTCGATAAAAAAAGGAATTCAAAATAAACACTAAACAGGCATGTGGAAATCACATAATAAAGCTAAAGTTTTTTTTATAATATAGCCCCGAGACACGCGAAATCTAAATAGAAAATTACGTTACGACTTCCTTTTTATGTTTTTATTAATGCAAATTGCCGAGTTGATAAAATTCGAATCTTCTTACATACTATTTTGAAAGTAAAAAATATTGAAAATGGGAAAGTAAGGTGAAATTTAGGTGAAAACTCCTTCTGAAAAATGACCTGTTATTATTATTATTCCAAATTTAGGACATGATGTATTTAAGGCAATTTAGTGAGTTACAGTTAGCCAATAAACGTTTCTAAGAAGGAATACAATTTATCTTAAAACCGCCGTATATGTACGATAAAAATATTTAATACTAATGATACCTTGTTAGCGAAATTGCATGTATAGAAACTATAATTAACTAGCGCACACAGATGGCATTGCTACCGGTGTTTATACACATTTCAGTTACAACTACAATTTATTTATATTATATTCATTCCTCGACGTACTAAGAATTATCATTTTTCTAATCTAACACGTCGATTGTGTTGAATTAATTCAATTCGAAGGAAACGCTCGGCGCTACTGTACGCTCCAGCAGCGGATAATTAATTCATAAATTGCTCGTCCGGTTCTGGGCCAATATTCAGCTAGTAATTTTCTTATTCTTGAGCAATTTACCTGTCAAACCAAATTATGAAGATATCTCTGTCAGGTGCCCGTACGCACTCAGTGTTGGAGAGACGAACAGCGTTTTTCAATACGAGGCTAATTTTCATGCGGGATAAATTAAAATTAACGAGCCCCGAGGGCCAACGAGTGTTGTCAGTTTGTTTGGCTCGTTTAAAAAAAAATACAACACATTTTTGGAAAGGTGTAAGCGTAAGCCGTCGCTCAAGTAATTAGTATTAAGTGCCGCTTAAATGAAATTAACTTTAGCATCGTTATTCCAATGTAATAATTATGATGAAGTTGGACTTTCTGTTTTTCTCTACCTACACCTTTTTAAATACGAAAATGAAATACCGGTGGAGTATCTAATAGAAAACTGTTTTTCTTTTAGCCATTTTTTGATTTAACGAAGTAAAGAAGGTACTGTACTAATACTTGTTGTATTTTCTTGTAGTTTATAAAGTTTTAACGATGAAATCCGAAAATTGGTGTTTTAAAACTGTAGTTTTTATCAAAAATAATTAAGCAAGAGGAGTTATTTCAATTTTAGAGACAAACATTAAAGTGTCTCTAACACAATAGAGCGAACAATCAGCCTGTATAAGTGGAGAAACGCATGCTATACCTGGGGAAGAAGTATAATTACATTTACAGTTGATGCGAACAAGTTTCCACAAAAGCTTTATGGCTATATTATAATTAAGTCGGCTATTTGCTCGATTATCACAACTCGCATAATTCAATTTCGCTCGCGAAATGTAATTAATATTAACGGACAAAGTCCGTGTAGAAGTTTTTCACGAAAAAGTGATAAACATCGTCGAGGTATTAAAATAAATTTCTGGTTTCTTCGATAACGTCTCACATGTGGTAAACTTCGTTATTTATTAGAGTTCGAGTTGCTTCTTATATCACAAGCAATTAAAGTATGAATTTATGCCGCTTAGGGATCTGATTGCGATAATTGCGCATATGTATGCAAATAGCCCGCTTATCTGGGCCTTATTTGTAATTTTTTTTCGTCGGTCGAAAATTTTATTTTTGCACTTTACATAATATCAGAAATAAGTTGGTAGAAGAACCAACCACAAGCAAGATTTAATAAAATATTTAGGCTATACTACCTATTGAATTTCTAAAGGTATACCCAAATATGTATTCTATCAAGTATCCTATGTAGTAAATTGGTAAGTATTAAAAAAACAAGCGGTAAAAATTTCATTTAAGGTACAAAAAAAACTAATATACAAGGGCGAGTCGATATTTAAACCAATTTTGTCGATTTTAGCAAAAAATATACTACACCCCTAGTTTTCGTGATATCTGACCCCTAAAATCGCATTGATTGCATGTTGGAAATACTAATATTAAAACACTACAAATTTCTATTAGTGCGCCGACGAGGCAAAAGCGCCTTATCGACGTGGCATCTTTTTTATAACTCCACAACTTAACTCGAACCGTCCGAAATCACAACATCATGCGCTCGGACTTTTTATGTTACTTCCCTTACGTATAATGTATAATAACTTCATTAGTCCTTCGTAACCTGCCATTTACATTTTAATGTAACACATGAACTGGTCATTAGAGAAGCGGGGAGTTAGTACGGCGGCCGGTTCGTAAGGATTATTCTATTTTTGACACGCAACCGTGTGTTTATTTTCGTTCTCGGCTCCGACATTTCGGATAATTGAAATGTTATTATATACCCACATATGGGTGTATTATAAGAATTTCGAAAAAGGAACAATCCGAGTCTGGAGAGTGATTTTTTTGTCTAATTTTCTCGTGTTTTTGAGTAGCTAGCACGCGATCCCTATACAACCGATTGATGTTGATGGTATTATTAAGGCGCATTTTCGTTTGTCTTAGCTTTATTAACCACCGCTATTTTCATCTGAAATACTGTTATTAAGAAAATCTCATTGGATATATTACGTATTGTAATGTAACATCCCAATACACGATACTTTAGTAGGTAAATAAGCTATCCTTATTTTTTATTTCCCCACTATTACCTATGTAAAGATTTGGCATGTACAACATATTGCTTTATCACCTCTCAATTAAGCCCTACATCAGGATTTTTAATTAGATTTCTAGTAGATGCTAAGATCATATTGATTAAGTTAGATGTCGGTTAATTAACTCTGTATCCTAGCGGGTAAATTACTATTAAATTATATCTACACGCCGCGTATATCAATCAACCGGCCAATTAATCACTGTGATCTAATTAGCGTGGATTTGTTAAAAAAGTGTTCACAACTTCTGGCAACGCGTACAACTCTAAGAAAGTTGATTAAATTGTATAAAGAAACGATGCGTGAAACATATTTAATTAACGTTAATTTACAGATAATGAGTCACATTGGATGACATTTAATTAGTTAGCTGTCAATTAAGCTTCATTCATCAAGCGGAGTGCGATCAATTCGGCAATAAACGCGGAATTCGCAAATAAAAAGGCCGAGTTATTTTTATTGCGTCGAATGTGTGTAAAATGAAAAAGTTAATTTGAATTCATGGCGTCGTTAGCGTTACCGCCGGAGCGAGCGAATTTATTCAAACCGGCATTAGAACAATGATTGATTGCTCGCATGATATATTAATTTTCATGTTTACGCCGGGCGCAGGTGTTAAACCTAGAACATTATACCACCTTCGGTAATGAGAATTTGAACAATTTTGGTTTCATTTTCCATGGCATATTATGTATAATGTTTTTAAAATATCGTTGTATTTAAATCAAATTACTTATTCTTTTATAGTTGGATAAAGGTGATAAAGATATTAAAAATATTATTAATTATATTAGTGTTAATTGGATTTGGAGTTTTATATAAAAGTAGTTTTATAACAAAAATTAAATGAAAAATGTTTAAGCTGAAATATAAATCATTAATAATAGTT